CTAACCCTATGCGGGCCAAGGTTCAGCAGGGCTTTCCGAACTCTAGACGCCAACAGTTTGCGCAACTGCAGATCCCCAAAATGAGATCTCGGCTCCAATGTAGATACTGGATGCAAGGGTGTTGTGTGTAAGGATTACAGCAAGGTCGTGGAGTCTGCATCCCTATAACTTAAAGACCATACAAGCAAACGGTCTTCGTCTCGCAAATACATGAGATCTCGGTTTCTGGATTTCGGAGGCCATACACAAAAACCACACCTCCTTCTGCGCAGGGCTTGGGGCTTCGGGTTAAGGGTTTAAGTTTAGGGTTTAGGGAGGTAAAGATGCTAGCACCTGGGCTAGATGTCAAATCCCTATCTCTGGATCGAAGCCAGTCAAAATCCTTGACGGCCGAACACCCGCGCACTCCCTGGGTTTTGGGATTTATGAACCTGGCCATTATCCAGCTGTCAGAAGCCACATGAAGGTTCATGGCATACAGTACTCCCCTGATCCCTGAATTACCCACCCCTAGCGCCCGATCCTTGCCGTTCCCACTAAGCTCGCGCTTAGGACTCAGAGTTTATAGGGTTTGATGATGATTTGATAGGGTTTAGAGTTTAGGGTCTAAGGGGCTCAAAATTTCGGGCTCAGACAACCTCGCAGAATTCAAGCAGTTGCTCGGCGCCTACGATGAAAAGGCTGTAGATGATAACCACCTGCGAGCATGCTCCAGGCAGAGCTACCGAGCTTCAAACGCCGGGGTACCTTGCTTATCTTATAGTCTACAACCAAACCCTAAACCCCAAACCCCCAACCACAAGGGCCTGGAGTGACCGAGACGGACTTCTTTGTTTTCGCCAGGCTTGCTTAGGTCTTGAGGTCTGGGGACATCAGTAAACTCTAATTCAAGGAACCGAACAATGAGCAAGCTGTTTTTTGCGGGGTTTAGACTGAATCAAGTACCAGAATGAGGAACTCCATAGCAGCATTGGTAGTTATTGAGACCCTTCAAGACATTACACTTAGCCCGGCTTTGTTACTTCGGGCCTGAGATTCGAAACAGGACGCTGAGCGATAAAAACAAAAACACGATGCCATTCAAACTTTTGGCAGCTATCATACTCTGGACGCCATGGATACTGTAACCTGCGTTCCTGCCACTAGTACTGAATGCTGCGCTATAGCCATCTGAAGCCTGAACCCCAATGCACCCTGAACCCGTGAAGCCTAGAATCTGAACCCCTAAACCCTCGCCACAAAAACTCCAAGCCCCCGAAAGAGACCCCCACTAGGGATCCTAAGCAGCAGGACATGTGTTACAAGGATGCCAACTTTCCCAAACTCTGACAAGAAACAGCAACACAACACCCGACACCAACCACCTTGCGCCCACAATGTCATGGCAATACACGTGCCTACCCCGGACATGTCACCCTGAGCCCTGCCCTAATCGTACAGTATGTCACAGTGGCACAACTATCCAGAGGCCCCAAAGTAGTTCCTTTTTGGGATTACCTTATAGGATTCTATATACGAACCCCAAAAAGGAACTACTTTGGGGCCTTTGGGTAATGAGAACAAGGCTCAGCAAGATTAAGTGGCATGTTTACAGCTTTAATATTTCCAAGAGCACTACAAGCACTAAAACAGACTTCCCAGGAATAATACTGACCCGGACAGCCCTACGCCCCAAACTCTTAACCCTAACACCCCCTGACTAGAACCCTTGAAGATCCCTTGGCGGAACCCCTGAAGATCCCTCGAAGCTCCGTTGACGGAACCCTTACAGATCCCTTACCCCTTCGAAGAAACCCATTCTAAAGATCCTCTGCAAGAGCCCTTGAAGATCCCTTCAAGATCTTTTGAAGGAGCCCTCAAAGATCCCTCAAAGGATCACCGTAAGGACTTTCGAAAACCCCAAACCCTAAACCTTAAACCTAGGTACCCTTAACCCAGGTACCCTTAACCCAGGTACCCTTAACCCTAAACCTAGATACCCTTCACCCAGGTACTCTTAACCCTAAGCCCTAAACCCTAAACCCCTAAATCCCTAATCAAGGTAACCAACACCCAAGTACACTTTAAGGAACCCAAATACTCTCGAGCCACCCAATCGGAGATGAACCGAAGGTCGGCGACCTCGGTCGGCGAATCGGAAGAGCAAAGGAAAGTGATAACAGAATTCTGGGTTTAGGGTTTATAGAGTTAATTGAGAGTTCAAGGCTTAGGGTTTGGAATTTGGGGTGCAAAGGTTTGGAGTTTAAGATTGAGGGTTTAGGGCTGGATTCGTTCATGGGGTTCCTTTCGTGAGGGATCCAAAACGTCCTCTTTAAAGTAGTGCCACCATTTTAGAGTTTGGGGTTGAGGATTTCCGATCTGAGAAGCAGGTACGGGGCTGAGGGTTTACGGAAAGCTACGGCTTGCAGAACGGGACGGCCTTGTCCTTTTTTGGGGAAATTGACAGGGCCCTTTACCCTAGTCCCTTATTAAGAAGCCCTTAAAGAAGGTACCTTAACCGATCTGTCTATTCTTTATTAGGGGACCATAACAAAGGACAACAGTGGAACGGGATTCAGGTCGTACAGCTAAGAAGGTATCAAGCACGAGGGCAAACCATACCATGAACATCTAGAGAACCCTGTAATAGAGCTCCCCTGAACTTCCAATGAGCTATACTATACCTTCAATCATGTTAGTGGTCTGACTATAAGTTAAGGCAAAAAATTCCTTCCTTAATTAAGGGAAACTGGAAGGCCGCATCCAACCCTCGGAGGACAGGCGCTGGCCGGCTCCCACCATAAAAAATCCCAAATCCGTATGGACCCTTTTTGGGTCCCTATTATAATACGGCACCTACTATTTAGGGTACCCAAAGAAGGGACCCCATTTTTGACAACCACCCACATCGGTAAGCGGAGGATTGGTAATTGAGTGGAGGACTTCGGGTTCGGGGTTTATTTGGGGTATAGGGTTTAGGGTGTAGGGTTTAGGGTTGAGGTATAGGGTTTAGGGAATAGGGTTTAGGGTTTAGTTCGAGGATTGGGGATTGAGGCTTTACGGCTTCGGGATTAGGGGTTAAGGCTAAGGGCTGTGCGGGTGAGAGCCTAGCGTGGTTGCGTGTAGACTCCGGCGAGTTTGAGGGTCTGCAACTTCGCGGGCACACTCTACTCAAAGGCAAGCTGGACTCATAGCTGATTTTTCTTGCAAAACTTGCAGGCAGTGCTTGGAATTGTCAACATGCTCTATCCTGCGCACAGCCAACCTGAAGCCATGAACCCTCAACTGCGGGCTTGAGACAGATTCGAAACATCACCAGTTAAAGGCAAGTGGCGAAGAGCTTCCTCTTCCGCTTGGACAGGAAGGTGCTGATGGTCTGCGAGGGGTTCGGTCTCTAGGCTCGGGCTTTCTATCCTCGCCACCGTCACATCGAAATCCAGCCCTCGGTAAGCTTGAAAAGAAGTACCGGAAGTGGTGGTGCCTGGTTTCGTAGGGGAATTGGGGGGAGAGTTGTGGCGCAACTTAGCATTATGCTCTTTCTCCGTTTGAAGAATCAAAAGACTTGCGGCATTTCTGGGCATTACCTCATCCCCGACTGCCCACTTGCAGGCCAGTTCGTTGATCGTGTTGATCGATTTGGCAGTGGATGCTATAGAATATCCCTATGGGAACAGAGAACCATGGCAAAACAAGGTGGTTGTCGTTCTCGTCGCAAGGGTGTTAAGAGCAACAGCAGCAGACAACATTTCCCAGCATAGTTCTACACATCATTCAGTCCAGAGAAGCTTTCCGCCCTTGGCCCACATGCTGCAGAAAAATCGGCATGATACTCACCCGTTGCACTTTTTGTCCAAAGGCAGATCTGGAGAAGTCTAAATGGCACGCGCCGGTCTTGCGCTAACACCTTTGGGCGCAGTGCGGCAAGACGTCACGGGAGCTACACAAAATATTTGCAGCGACGTCTTTAATCAATGCACGAGCAAAAGATAACTATAGCCTGAGAGAAATCCAGGCTGCAACGAACATTTTTGGATGGCATGGTTCCATGACAGCCTTGTCTTAAAACGAGCTTGAAGACAGCATCAGAATGATCATGCTCTTAGGACGGATGTGAACAAAAGGCTGATGCATGCAACCCGATACCACAAATCTATGCTTCTGCTTCAGAGGATACAGGGATCCCTTCTCTTGATACCCTTCAAATACAGTACAGCATAAACTATAGATCCCTTGTGAAGGGTCTATAATAGGTTCCCTATCTTCTGAACTTCAATACACAGGCTGAGGCGTCAGAACTCTGCAGCGACTGTTCGATGGGGCATCCTTCAAGCTTGGCAAAAAACATGGAGGCTCATTTCCATGATGGGAGGAAGGCGTGTGGTGGGGAGCAGAGTGGGGGTATGGCAGGATCTATCTGAATCCTGTTTCGGCTTCAAAGATGCAAAGCGTCAGGTTTGCAGCCACATCTATGCGGGCGGGTGTCTTGCTTGTGCTTAGAAGGTTTTACGGCTCGACGTATGGCTCATGCAGCTGCCTCCTTTTGTGCTTCAATGCTGAACGTTCTGAGCTTGAGGAGTAAGGCACCTGGAAGTTAGCATCCGAGTACGTTTATAAGTATCGTAAAATTATCAGAAAGACGAACCGAGTTCTTATCGTACGGTTGACCTGCTTCTTAAAACCCCCACAGATCCTTCAAGTACGAGTAGCAAGGATACAAATTTGCAGCAGTAGCTAGCAACAACATTGATACGCATAACCACCAGCAGCAGCAGCAGCAGCACCTCCACCATTCTTAGAGTCATCATCCTCACCATCGACATCAGCATCATGCTCTTCCTCATCACCCCCCTCATCCCCATCGTCGTCATCGTCTTCGCATCAACAAGGCAGGGTGGTCTTATTCATAGTCATCAGAAGACAAAGAAGAGTCTTAAGCATAGCCGACGACGACGACTACAGCCACTACTTGTACAAACATGCCTCAAAGTGATGGCTGAACCGCAACCTGAGGCGGCTGGTCCTCATCCTTGCCGCGAGCAAAGGCTTGCACAACACTGGCCGACCTGCCCAGATGGCGATTTTGTCTGGGTGTATTGTAGGGGCGTCAACGGTTAGAGTAGGGTGTTGATCTCCTTTGTAGCAAAAGGAGCGACAAGGAAGCGGGTGTCGGGCGAAGGGTGGAGGCCAGCGAAAGTTTCGACTTGGCTTGGGGTGGAGGGCTTCCAGGTGGCCGACCCGAGCCGAGCGGACCACAGCGGTGCCCGTCCAAGGCTTCCGGAACAGATGCAAACATAGGTTGTAGGGTGTGGGTCATACAGGTCGGAAAAATCCGTCAGACCTGGAGCCTTTGGTCTGGAGGCATTTAGGGTTGAGGGTTTAGGGATTTAGGGTGGAGGGTTTAGGGGTTAAGGGGTTTCGGGTCGAGGGATTTAGGGTTTAGAGTTTAGGGATTTAGGATTCAGGGATTCAGGGCTTTGGGTTTAGGGCCAAAGTTTAGGGGTTTAAGGTTTAGGGATCGGCAAATCAACGCACACCTAGGGTTCAAAAGGGTTTAGAGTTGGGTTTGGAACTGGGAAATCCGGTTCTTCCCTCCCTTCGGTCTACTGAGGGCTGCTCGACAATACTGTCAGGATTTAGCACCTAGGACCTGGGAATTATATAAGCTTTTTAGTTTCGGGTTTCTGATCGTTAAACACCCTTTCTTTGAGGCGGAGAGTGTATGATCCCTGTGCCACCCGCATAGCCACCTTTTTGTAGTCCTTGAAGCAAACCTTATAGTTCCCTGTAGCACAGCGTAGTACCACCCACCAAAAAACGAAACCAGGGTATATTACACCCTGTGCGACACCTTACAGCACCCTTGTAGCAACTGCTACTGTAAACCCTACTTGTAGCCGAAAAGACCCACCTTTTTAAGGAACTATATATAGAAACCATACTAAGGAACCCTAAAATGGTAGGTCTTTCCGGCTGCAAGTAAACCCTCCTGGCCTGAAGGTACACGTCGCGGCAGGTGACGCACCTGCTGTTGGCCTGCGGTTTGGGAAAGGAACCAGACTGGGAGGATGCTTGGACTTAGGGTTGAGGGTTTCGGGTCTATGGTTTAGGGGTTTAGGGTTTAGGGTTTAGGGTTTAGGATTAAGTATGGCTGTAAAAATCAGGAGAATGATGCCTATCACTACACATAGCCGTGCTTAGTGCCATGCTCCTCCACGTAAGACAAAAAACCAGGGTTCAGCTTTGAGCTTTAAGATTAAGGATAAACCTGTAGGGGTCCAGGTAGGAATGTTTGTCTACCACACTTCCTGTAGTTAGGTACTAGCTGAGGCCATGTTTGTTGCTCAGAAACTAGAAGTGTGGCAGGTAAGTGCTTAGATTAGATAAGCCATGATGGTGCATAGGGCCTGTCTGGGAGGGTACAGGGCTACTTAAAAAGGCGATAGGTTGCAAGTCGAGTCAGCGGTACCCTCAAGGGGTTCTCTTGGACTGAACATGCCTGCGCCAGGCGCATTTCGAAGGAACTCCAAACCGTCAGCTACATCTGACTTCGAAGTGAACACCCCTGACCTCGCACAGACTTTTCCATAAAGGCCTTCATGCATCCACGGATGTCTATGGACATCCTTGCTTGGGGAGGGACGGTGTATTTCAGGGTCTACATGACCTTCCAACTGGTGGTCTCTATAGGTGTATGTAAAACGCCTGGGAACCATTAAACAACCCCAAACACCCTGATAGTATCTGATAATGACCCGAAAGCAACTATGAGTATTTACACCGCTGTATTAACCCTAAACCCCAAAGACAGAAAAGAAGCCGCGCCACTAAACCCTAAACCCTATAAGCCACCCCATGCCTCGGATTGGTCCTCCGTGTAAAGATTCAGCATCTTCCGAAGGCCCTGCGCTGCAGATGGTGCCCATAAGCCCGGAGCCGGTGCTCTGAAATTAGGAGTCCATAAATCCTAGACCTGACACCCTACAGACCCTAAACAGTTGAACCAGAGGGGTTAGAGATTCCGGCATTGGAGTCGGTTTTCGTCTCGGTTTTGGCCATGCAAGATCCACTGCCGTTGTGGATCGTGTCATGTGGTTGCGACCAAGTCAAGTGTCAAGCATTCCACCCACTCAGGCTTTATAAGTGTCTCACAGAGTTTCCAGAGAGACTTGAAGGACCAAGTGAAGTCTGAGGATCAGTAATTAACTAAGAAACAAATCTGTAGGTAGATAAGTAGATAGATAGATCGGTAAATCGATCAATAGATGGATCCGTCGATAGACCGATAGACAGGACGGTAGGATCTTCAGGATCGAGTGATAGGAATATATATATATATATATATATATATATATATGTATATATATATATATATACACATGTATATATGTACATATACCTGTGCAATATATATATATATATATATATATATATACATGTGTGTGTGTGTGTGCATGTGCATGTGCATGTGCATGTGCATGTGTATGTGCATGTGCATGTGCATGTATATGTATATGTGTATGTATTATGTGCTCATATGTCTATGTATATGTCTATGCTGCATATATATATATATATGGGCGCACCCCTATTTGGGGTCCCCTACGTTTTGCGCTATACCATCTGACTCGGCATCTGACTCGGTTATAACCACCAGACTAGGTTATAACCAGCCGACTAGGTTATAATCAGGTGTACGTCATCGACTACAGTATTATATCCGGTTTGAAGACCATGTTTTCAGGATGCTGAAACCCGCACAACGCTAAGAATTCTATGACACCTTCGTCGAAACCCTGTTGCAATGTGCTAAAATCCTTGCTTTGAAGCCGTCGATATATCTTCGTAGTTCATGTTTGTGTGACTGTATCTAAACCGCTGTATTTCAGTTTTTTCCAACAAGCGCGCTGTAGTCATTAGTCTGGTTCAGTCATTCCTTATCGCGAACTAGATTTTGCAACGAAAAGTTTTCCACCTAACAGTTTAAGTCGCGAATATTGTTTCGCTCACCATGCATATTCTTCTCAGTTTTGTCTCGTCGAAATCCGGCTTCCTTGGAACGATGTTTGAACAAAGCGTTGCAACCAGTTCGCCTATGTACGAAGTGATGAAACCTGACCACGCTGTAAAAAATGAAATGCTGTCTCTCCCTACAATGACGTCGTATCAGCCGTATCTCAACTTTCTATGTACCGTGATATTCCAATGTTGACAACACTTACTGACCTACTGTAATCCCGATAGAGCCCCTTCATATTCCGCATTTTGATTCCTGCGTGAGTGACATGTTAGCGGCTATTCTCTCAATGTGTACATAGATCTCATAAACCCGATGTACTGGAACGGACAGACCATTCTGTAAAGTCGCCATATAGCCTTTCCGCTAAAGTTGGGGAATGCGCATATGGTCCCCGGAATTATGTTTGTTATAAAGCACTGCATCATGCCTCAACAACCGAATACACGCCAATTACCTCGGACCCTCTATTCTTCTAGTCCTTGTGTAATTTCATTGCGGTTACATTCACCCTGAAACACCGAAACTTTCGAACGTTTGGATTTAGGTGTTGATGAAGTACTGTAGCGGTGGCACAGGCCTGGTTGTAACCTCTGTCCCCGGTTATAACCAGGACACCTGCGTAGTAGGCAGCCCTAGACCCATCACTAAACCATTAAACCATTAACAAACCGTTAAATTAGTACACCGTTAAACAAATCCTTTGCCCCAATGGACCCAAACCAATAAACCATTAAACCATTAAACCAATCCTTTTGCCCCATCCACTAAACCATTAAACCATTAAACCAATCCCCTTACCCCATACCACTAAACCACTAAACCATTAAACCATTAAACCAATCCTTTCCCCCAATGCACCTAAACCACTAAACCATTAAACCAATGCTTGCGGCCCATACAGGGTTGTGTCTCTCTCTATAGGGGCAAATGATTGGTTTAATGGTTTAATGGTTTAATGGTTTAGTGGTATGGGGCAAAAGGATTGGTTTAATGGTTTATTGGTTTGGGTCCATTGGGGGAAAGGATTGGTTTAATGGTTTATTGGTTTGGGTCCTTTGGGGGAAAGGATTGGTTTAATCGTTTAATGGTTTATTGGTTTGGGTCCATTGGGGGAAAGGATTGGTTTAATGGTTTAATAGTTTAGGTGTGCAAAAACCCAGGGGACCCCATATAGGGGGGTACCCATATATATATATATATATATATATATGAGTGTTTCTGCCTATGTCCAGTTCTAAGTATATGTATATGTGTATGTCCTTGTGTATGTATATAAAACTGTATGTCTATGTATACGTATCTGTACATGTATGTGTGTGTATATGTGTACGTATGTGAATATATAGATATAGGCAAGTATGCATAATGTGTGTATATATATATATAGATGCACGCTACCCTATGCCTCCGAAACCCTAATCTGTCAAAAGAACCTGAACTTGGTGATCCTCGGCGGCTTATCCTGTGAGAAGCTGTCTACTCAGTTCCCCGATTCTGTACCCTCTGTCTTTATGCGGATGACTGGGGCTCTTGGTACGGCAAGGGTTGTGCCTGAGGGGTGTGCATTACTTCAACGGCAAAAAGAACAGAATCGGAAAGTTGGAGATGCAAAGGCAAGTGCTGCTGAAAGATGCAAATTCCAAGAACTGCCATCCTCCTCCACCCTGAACTGAGTTTAGTTCAGAATCCGGGCCCTCAGAAAGGCATCTCTCACACTTAGGAGCAAAACGGATACCTATAGGAGAGGATTCGCACCTCGACGCCTCCGACCGACTCCATCAGGGGTGCGGCATCCGGGGACTGCGCCTGCGGATGTTTCTTCTGTGGGAGAGTGGAGGGTCCACGATGAGTACGTTTAGGTTTAGCTTCGATTGAGAGGTTGGGGAAGTTACATGCAGAAGTTTGAGTTTCTCATGCTTCCATGGCAACACCTGTAAAGAAATGGGTATCTCCGTACGTCCGCTCCTTTCCGGCACCTCGCTGACAAGTGAAGTGAGACTGAGGCAAGGGAACTACCCCTTGTTCGTATCTTTCACCAAGAAGAACATTGTCGCGAGAAGATCTCGACCCCCTTCCGCCAAAAAATCACGAGGTTCTCAAATTTCCCTTGACGGTCCTACTGTTTAGAAGGTTTCTTATGGTCCTCTATACTTGGAAACTCATAGGAAGGCATGCAACAAAGGACATATTCCGGCGGGAAAAACGACTTGATGTGGTCCCGTACGCAGATACTCTCTTCAGCATGCATCGCACATAACATGTTGAGACCGGGACCATCTGTCCAGCATCGGCGAGGACCTCAACGGCAGTGCACGAGGTGAGTTGCAGACACCCTGAGCATCCCTGAACCCTGAAATTTGAAATCCGACCTCATCCCTACGCCCCAAAACATCGAAGCCCTAAAACCCTAAACTCAATTAGCTGAACCCCTAAACCCCGAGACCCCCCGAGGTGATGATTGGAGTGAGGCATCTGCGGACCAGGGATTCAGTCGAACAAGCAGAGACAGGTTCACACACGTCCTCAGGGGACCCAAACCCAAACGCAAAATGCACCCGGATCCCAACTATTAGGGTTTAGAGATTAGAGGTTTAGGGTGTAGGGATCCCAACTATTATTCATTTTTTGAGCTCCTTTTCTGCGGACTATTAGGGTTTAGGGTTTAAGCATCGCAACTAGTATATATACCAACCCGATACTTTTTAACTCTTCAGACTGCGGCGGTGTGGTGGTCTCCTGCTCTTGAGGGCTTACTTTCGTGGCCCCACCCTAAACCCGAATCTTTGGAATCTAGTAAATTCGATACACTAAGGATACCCATCTTCCCTAGGGATGTAGGGGTGAACTTTTTGTTTTGGAGGGGGGGGGCGGATAGAGTTTCGTGCGTTTGGGCTGGCACCAGAGAAGCCTCTAGGGTTTAGGGTGTATAGCATTCTTCCCACAGGGTCCAAGTATCATTATGGTATATACTTAGCTATAGTATCCATTGTAGTTCCTTTTTTTGGTTTAACCAAATATGTAATTAGGATCCTGTAAGGTAACCCCAAAAAGGAACTACGATGGAGACTATAGGTAGACCCCCGAAATACCCTATAAGAGTATATACCATAGTGACCCTTAGGGCTCGAATCGCTGGCAATAGCGCCAGAACATTGCAGCCCCAGCACTTAGTGCGCTTGATTGCCCTCTGCCATACCGTCGCCGACGTGGCATCGCAGGGCCAGGAGACAACGGTCCCGAACCAGGACGGCTCTACATCAGGGCCGACGACCGTCAGCAAGACGGCTCCTCGAACTACATCGACACCACGCGACCAATCCACAGCTGCAGTCCAAGATCCGCAGCGCCATGGGAAAGAGCCACAAGTATACCAAGAACTATGCCAAAGAGGACGAAGGTGCGTGGAAGCACAGAGGCCAAGGCAGTGGCTACCACAAAGACAGAGGCTATGGCTACGAGCAGGGACGTGGATATGGGCAGGGCTGGTCCTTATGGCCGGGGGCTTGGAAAGCCTCTCCCAAAGGAGGCCGCCAGGACCGCCACACAGCCTTTCCGCCTTACGACGAGGGATGGAGACAAGCTGGAGAGATCATGGAAGTACCGGCCACAACTACTACGACGACTACGGCCAAGGGAGGTATCGTGAAGGATGTGCAGGCGGCTATCAACGCTGCCAGACGCCTCGAGCAGAAACTCCTCAAGATGCAGAAGGAAATGTTACAAAAGGGCCAGGCCTGGGAGTCATGGGTGCTAGAGATGAGGTCTACCTATGCCAAAGAATACGACCGCCACCAGACAGAGCAAGCCCGCTTACAGCAGGAGATCCAAGAGCTCGAGATGCAGACACAGGCTGCTTACCTACAGGTGCAGGATTCCGCCCTGCACCGTCAACCGCCTCCCCAAGCCACGCCGCCCCCCCCACCACTCGAGTGGGAGGTCGGCATGGAGGTAGACGAGGAGCTCACGGAGGAGCAGACCCGCAGCGAGCTCAACCGCATATTGGGCAAGGCCAGAAGAGTGGAGCCACCACCTGCTACGCCCCCTCGGAACCCAGCTACAGCACCGCGGTCGCCCACAGCAGCGCCTGGAGAAGCTTTATCACGCCCACCAGCCTCACCGAAGGCCTCCAGCGACGCATATCCTACACCTCCGGACTCTGCCAGCAAAAAGCCTACAGGGCCTGCAGGACTACTCGGTGCCCTGGATCCAAGGCAGCCGCCTTCGAACAAGGACATGCCCTCCTCTCTTGCTGGCAAGCTCTCCGAGAAGCGCAGGGCATATCGCTCTGCCATGGGCCCATTTGGCTTACCCCGCAAAGCCGAGAACACCTCCGATGCCACCCTCGATCCCAGTGGCAACGGAGCCCCAGCGAAGGGGAAAGGTCACGACTACATCAACGTCGACGAGGAAGCACCAGACGAACTTCGCTCTGCATCTCCCGGCTTCGGCAACATGGAGTAGCACCAGGCATTAGACAGGGAAGCCAGCCGGTCTTGAATTCTGGTACCTGGATAAGCAGGCTGGAAGGACACCACAGGCTGTGTGCTTCATTGGGGAAGCACCCAGCCTTGTGGACCCCTCTCGGCCAATGCCTACGCCAGTTACAGAGTTCAAGTGACGCTGTCCTTCCTCTGTGGTTTCACAAGTTGTACAGAGCAGGTAGGCCGTCAGACCCGTCAGAAGGCTCTCGCTACTCTGCACCTATGGACTTGTGCCACAGCCCTCCAGTTGGACTTCTACCAATTCCCTCCTACCCTGAGGTCCCACTGACAATCAGTATCTTCTCTGGATTTTCTTCCCGAGACACACATTTCCAGCCACAACCACCGCCGCTTGCCTCGCCCTCCTGGTTTTGGGGTTCCTTCGAGGGCAGCGTTTTTACTTGCGGGGGTTCTGCCGGCCAATCCCTTTTGTATCCATTGCCATGCAGGAGCCTAAGAGGAGTATCGGTGGCTCAGGGACTCCCTCCTGCAGAATCTATTGACCCACGGTCTTCCGCTAAGGTCACGACTTGCCTGCCCTGTTGCAGCCATGTCTTTCCTAGTCCCTCAACTTCCTGCCCTTTTCGCACATCACAGTTCCGGCAGATGTGCCCCTCTCAATACCTGTGTACTCCCGCAAGGTACTTTGGCGCGCCTAAGAGACAGATCGGTGGCGCTGGGCTGTCCGCGCTCAAAGCACCTGTGCCACACGTTACGCTTGCATCTCCTTGCGAGCTACTTGGGATCATCGCTATCCCTGTTGTTTCCTTCTATGCGACTCTGTTGGGCATTTTGTGCATAGCCCTTTGCCACCTCCAGTTTCGCAGCATGTGCTATGGTCGTTTCTGTCTGCGCAATCCAATTGTGCGGGCAATCAACAATAGCCTTGCCAAACACACCCTCTGCATAGGGTTACTAGCAACCCCCAAGGATCCTGTCCCGCATTGGCGACCCCCTCATCCCGCACCCAGGGCTCCCACAACAGGTCCATGCAGGACACGGCGATCTGTTGCCGGCTTCTGGGCATGGCTCTTTGCGTGCCTTGCTGGCCCAGACCAGGTTTGGAGTGCTCCCCCAGACATACTAGGTCCTGCCAGTCCCACCCGCGAGACAGTTGCGGCCTCAAACCTTGCATTTCTCGGGGAACACCCTACACATGTGTCGGCTGCTTCCTGTGCAGCTTTTACAGTTACCCGTTTGCCCGACCCTCTACCCGAACCTGTAATACTTGATTTGCCCTATTCTGATATGCCCAGCATAAGGCAGATCATTGTTTATGTCCCAGATCATACGTCCTTACAGGTCCAGATTAATGCCTCCGAGTGCTTCAGCGTAGAGCAGCTCCTTAAGACCATAGCCGCGCAGCTTGAGAGCCCTCTTCCACCACAGGCATGGTGCCTCGCAGCCGTCTTTCCACAGACAGCTCCCTCCCACGGAGAGGTCGTAGCCATCCCAAGGTGGACCCAACACTCAGGCACCAGAGTTGCTATCTTGGATTTCTCGGAACATCAGGGTCCCGTCTATGCACAATACGTTTCGGCAAGCCTTACCCTAAGTGACCTAGAGCCGTTTGCCGATACCCATGCTCCCGCGCCTTGGTTAGCATACATAGCTGACGACTCCCTGCCTGTTCAGCGAAGCCGGTGTTACTCGGTTGCCAACGGCCAGGTCATCAAGTTTGCACTTGCAGAATCGCAGCATAGGGATACGACTTCCCTGTTCCAGCACGTCCAAGCTTTGCCACCGCCCACTGAGTGTCGACCGCCAGATGTGCTTGGACCTGATCCCCGCGCTTGGCTTATGCTCTCCCCCACCGAGAGGCGTTTTCTCTATGTTGATGATGCTGACCAGGATAATGTTAGGCTTTTTGCCGCAACCAAGCTACATAGACGAGTTGAACAGACAGGTTTTCAACTCCTCACTCGGCAGGAGTTCTTGAGTGAATTCTTGTTTCAAGGATGCCGTGTGCGGGGAGTTATAGCAGCATGGCCACTAGGCACTGAAGCTTCCCCTCCTCCCACCTCTCTATGCGTCTTCGTTGACTTACGCGTTGCCGCTTTGGGCCTCAACGTTCAATACTACCCAATAGGGACACTAGTTCCCGACCTCTTAGGTGTCGAGCTGGCTCCACGCCTCCCGAATGGGTACGAAGTTTTTTGTCTGGATTTAGATGCTGGCCGCCGTACCAGTCTCGAATCAGGCATGCTGCTTTCTTTCGGTGTCAAGCCCACAGTCCTTACCATGCCCCATAGTGCCGCCTCAGTACCCTCAACAGTTCGACCAAGGTTAGGAGGTCCCTCAACTGCACCAGAGCTCGCTCTTGCGCCCGACTGCTCAGGATCCGCATCCTCGGTACCTGACATCCCCGCCACCCTAGCTGTCAGGAATGTCTATTTTCTAATTTTCGTCCCTGATAGGAAACCGGAGGCACTGCAGTGTGAGATCGACTTTCCTGCCGAGCTCTATGCCACGGGAGACCTGCTGTCTCTTGTACGCGAACCCAACACAGCTACTATTTACGAACACATGACCGTAGTTGAGCCTCAGCCGGATGCCAAATTTGCCTG